ATTTACTCGCCCTCGTGCCATTCCAAACCCATAAGACTTTCCTTCATCCTTGAAACATAAATGAAGATATTTTTTGATGAACCCTGAGAGATTTTGTCCCTTCATTGAAACTCCATTACTCAAAACTTTGATGCTTCATTAAAAGATCATAAAAGAAATCCACATGAATCGAGTGGTCCACGTTTTCTGAAGAGACATTGTATTGATGAATAGAATAAAAAGCTTTTATTCACATAACACATATTGCTCATCAAATATGGTAAACAAGAAGCTCAAAAATGCTTGCGTGACACAAGAACAAACATCATTGGTTCTCGCATGTCAAGCAAGCATGTTTGAGCTTCCATTTGCCATATTTTATGTGCTGTATGTATGTGTTGATCAATGTTTTTATGTGAATAAAAATCTAATAAAATCTGTTTATAAAATGCCTGTGTCTCTTCAGGAGACTTGTTTTAAACTGCTTGATTCATGTGGATTTCCATTACGATTTTTGAAGTATCAAAGTTTTGGGTAATTGAACTTTCAGTGGAGGAACATAAATCTTTCAAGGTTCATTAAAATATATTTTTGTGTTTCGCAGATGAATGAAATTCTAATGGATTTGGAACAACATGAGGGGGAGGAAATTATGACTACATTTGCTTCTTCTTTTTTTTTTTTTTGGCTGAACTAAGCCTTTAAAGGATACATTCAGGGGGGAAAAATTTAAATTTACTCACACTTATGTTGTTCCAAACCTGTATAAGCGTCTCTTCTGCGAAAAACAAAATAACAAAGGTAGTGGTCATTCTTAGTCTAAAAGATTTGAAGGTTTCAAGCTTCCAAAAGGATGCAGAAGCACCACACAAATATGTGACACTGGACCACAAAACCAGTCATAAGGGTCAGTGTTTCGAAATTTAGATTTATACATCATTAGCAATGCATATTACTAATCAAAAATTAAGTTTTGATATATTTTCGGTAGGAAATTTTCTAAATATCTTCATGGAACATGATCTTTACTTGATATCCTAATGATTTTTGGCATAAAAGAAAAATCTATAATTTTGACCCATACAATATTTTTTTGGCTATTGCTAAAAATATACCCAAGCAACTTAAGACTGGTTTTGTGGTCCAGGGTCACATATTGTAAAAACATTGCTAATGTAGCCCATACAGCTGTATATAACAAAGTATTGAGATGAAATTTTGTTATTGACCAAATACTTATTTTCCACCTTAATTTGCAAATAAATTCTTTAAAAATCCTACAATGTGATTTTCTGGATTTTTTTTTTCTCATTTTGTCTCTCATAGTTGAGGTATACCTATGATGAAAATTACAGGCCTCTCTCATCTTTTTAAGTGGGAGAACTTGCACAATTGGTGGCTGACTAAATACTTTTTTCCCCACTGTATCTATGACTATAAGTCATTATTTACTGATAATCTTCCAAACTAGTGAGCTGTTAACCATTACAGCCAGATCATTGAGTCAGTGAGAATTCAAGAACCGGATATGATTCATGAATGAATCATTCAGGCTGGTTATATGAACTGAACAAACAGATTCATTCATTCAAACAGACATCGCTACTTCTCTCCTGAACTCTCAAGGGGATGCCATGATTTTCATTGTATACCAACTTCAATTTCTATCTGTTTTTCACACAAAGCTATTGTATGACTCCAGAAGACTCATGGTGCTTGATGCTCCAATGAAAAAAGTCATCAGGATATTCTTAAAAAATTCATACAGGTTTGGAACGACATGGTTGTGTATAAATATAATGACCAAATTGCCACTTTTAGGTGAACTCTTCCCTTGCAGTGAGTGCATAGTTTTGACATTACCCTTCTCTTAAATTAGGAGCTCTTTCTGGGGTTTCTAACATCTTCAGCTTTTGGGGGGACAGTCATGGCCATCAGTACCAGGAAGTACCCAGCCACAGTATGTCTTTACCCTCATCTTCAGTGCCCTCCAATACTGTCCTGCACAGTGTTACCCATCGTCATTGCACTGAGGTAGAGAATAGACTGGAAATGATGCAGAGACAGCTCCACAGGTGAGATCCCGCTACAGTATTGTTGTTATCTTGGCATCCTTTACTCTTTATCCATATACTTTGAGCTGTGTTTGTTGTCTTGTTTCTTTCAAAGATTGGAGAAGCGCATGTCAACAGACATGAGGGCCATAATGCACTTGCTTCAGAGGCAGCTGGTGCTGGTTCCACCGGCCTACAGCTCTGTGACGTCCCCTATAGAAGCATCTTCAAATCCACCCAAACCAGGCCAGAAACTAATCCATCCTGTCAACCTTTTGGAGACGGAAACGCCAGCCATTCTCTCTGAGGTATTTCACAAACTTTCAAATTACAGTCATCAATTTTTATTGAATCTCATACGAGTCTTTAAATCTTTCTCTTGGATTTTTCCCAGATACTTGATCCCCACGAATTTACTGACAGTCCCATAAAGTCCAGTGAAAGTCTGTCAGGGGCAATGGAGCTCCAGCTCTTAAACTCTTCCTTACAGCCATCCTCTGAGACTCCTTCTGGGTCTTATTCTGAAAGATGGCCATGTAGCATGGGCCACAATGACCCTGATTATCTTACAGCACACACTGACCAGCAACAAATAGTCATAGCTGATCAAGGTAGTTCTAGTTTTTTGGATGCAGAGCCTATTGGAACTGTTCACCATCCACAAGCTGGACTGAGGTTAGATTTGGAGTGTTCAAGACGCCTATCATTGCCAGTGCAACATCATGTAAAGGATGATTCCTCAATCCAAAAACGACATGGCTCTAATCCTGGGTGTTAAGATTGAAACTTTTGTTCAGCATGTCAGTGGAAAACAATGCATACATCCTGACTGACCGCAACAATGTTGGCAGGATGTTTTGAAGACCTTCTACTTCAGGTTCATATTAATTACCTCAGAAAGTCTAACATAGAGGCATCATTAATGTCCCTGTAGATTGGTACATTCGTGTTAGCTGGTCTAACGATGCTTGTTGTTTTTACCTGCCTCTCACTGAAAATGTTTAATTTTACGAAAGTGTTCACTTGGTATTTTGAGGTGTAAATGTAATGATTTATATTAGCATATCAGTTTTTTAACAGTGTGGTTTTGTGTTGAATTGATGGTTGTTTGTTTGGAAGTTTTGGACAATCTGTAGCAATACACTGTAAAGTCTTCAGAGTATGATTTATTAGTGTTTAACTGGACATTTGGAAACTTCAAATCTCAGGTGGACGAACCCCAAGCTCATCTCTAGTAGCTAAAATACCTCAGAGTGAGTGATTCCAGGGAATAATGGTTAATCCTGCTGAATAACATGCCAGTAGTTTACATGACTGAAATCATTGTTTATATCTTTCAGGCCATCCACTGTAAAGATTTTCCTGTGAGAATAAGTTATCACTCTAAATATATAATCATCAGTTTGGCCATAGGGTCAAAACGTGTTAAATGTGATTTAGACAGATTATGACTAAAAATCCATTTAGATCATAATCCATATCACTAGTACAATTAGTGATGAAATATACATGTATAAAACATATATGATCAGTTGGCACTGGTTCATGCCAAACACATCCAGTAATAAGCCATACTATAAATGTGCTAGAAAGATATTTTATAGGGAATGTGGTATATAGAAAGGATATAGCTTGGAATGTGCATATGTATTATAACATCCTAAGTAGGAATATTTATTGTTAGCTTACTATAAACTGATTATTGTGCAGATTTTATCTCTTAATAACTGATAATCACATTCACACCGAATAAATTAATTCATATAATTCATCAGTCTTTTGAAGTTTATTAAACATGTCTCGCCTGACTGAATGAATGAGAACCACCATCCTTTCCTTGTGTTTCTCTGGTGTCAGAAATAATGTTTTTCTTTTTCTAAATGTCACCACCTCTACAATGCTGCACCAATGATATTCATTTGCAAGGCTTTGATATTTATGTCAGTGGATTCAATCTATAGAGCTATAGGGGGGTAAACTGAAAGTCTGCATCTATGCTCAAGCTCTGCCCAATTTCCACAGGACTGCTAAATTAAAACGGGAAGTTGGTGTGTGTCTAAATGTGATATGTATCCTTCTGCTCATTGCTACCTCTTGTTTTACTCCCAACTATAACTGTCCTTTGAAATATCTTTTCAGCATCAAATAACTATGAATATAAGAAATTGCTTTGTAAGTAAATTATAATAGGATATGCTTAAGCCAGAGTGTAGACAAACCCTTCCATCTTTGACAGACAGAAAAAAGGCCCACCTAAACTGTCAATATGTATTTAAGACGACTATAGCATATATAAAAAGAAGGAAAATTCATTGACCTGTTCATGCAAGCATAGCTCCTGAAAGGAAACACAGGTTCAGTGTAATAGGAAACCAGCAGAAAGAGACACACCCACTCACAAAAATAAAGGGAGTCCTGCACTAAGCCTATTATTGTTATATTTTTATGTTAACGCTACTTAATCATGTTCCAGAACCGGATAAACAACACAATAGAGGAATTCCGTCCTTCCACAACACTTGATGCTCTTTTAAACTCGCAGCCTATTTTTATAAGGGTGTCATAAATGTATGAGGTTACATTCAGGGGATTTTCAAATGCATTTTCGCATGAAGAACTGGAAACTACAAGGGTATCACGTCTCACATCGGACAGTCTGATGTTCCTCGATACAATGTCATCTAGTCAGATGCCCAAACAGATCTATTCAATGCCAATTCAGCGCGCCGTTGCTGATGTATTGATTGGCGAATCTCCCTGCCCCTCATCTGTCATCAACATGCTCATTGTGTCTATTAGCTGTCCATCAATACTGGTGGGGTACTCATGTAACAACCAAGAATTTAAGATGCTCAATTCCAAGAGCAGTCTATAGCGGCTCGAAAAGGGAACGTATACAATTTGCCTGAATTGTGATTGGTCGAGGGGGATAAGGGGCGTGGCGTCGTCCTGCGATCACAGAGGCGCACTGTACGAGAGGGCGGATCTGACTGTGCACATCGGCCAACACTACAGCGTACTGAATTTTAAAAACAACAACAACGGGTAAGTGCACTTTGACATTGCGATTAGCGCTCACATTATACAATAGGAAACACCATCAAGACGCGTGCGTTAAAAAAAACCTACGCGTAACGAAGACAAAAATTGTTAACGAATCGGCGTGCACGCGGAGATTGGGATGCAGTCGCAGTCTGCTTGACAGCCGTTAGTTATTGTTATATGCACGCGAGATACTCATGCGATGTAAATAAAGGGTGTCCACGACTCAACGCTCTTTCGTTTCCAAACGTTCACAAACATGTCGACCTGCCGAGATTTCTTTGTTTGGGCACTGCCGCAGTTTGGATGCTCAGGACAGGTGTCCTCCGCAGCAAACCTCTATTGAAAACTACTGTAGTTACATAATTTAAGTAGTGCCACATATTGCTTTACCATTGTGAGATGATGAAATCGTGCGAGGTTCCTTATAAAGGACATTTTAAGCTTTACACTCCATATAAACTGCAAGAGAGCGACGCGACAAATGAGAACGCGCCTGTTATAATAAACGAAGCTGGTTTGATTGTAATAAGCGCGTTGTAGTTTGTCGCATCGCATTGTTTTCATTCATACTGGCACGTAGCGTGTTTAGTGTCTCTGTGCGTTGCGTCTCTGCAGTGCACCTCTTCAACATGCCTCATGGACATGCGTCATACTGTAAAATGCAATCGAAATGGAACAAACGATCAGAAACCGACTCATTGTGGGTCATGCATGGATGTCTGGGACTGTGGGAGAGGTGCATATGTGTTATGAAACATAACTATTCCCTCGTGGCCTCTTTTTCTCGTTTGATATTCTGAATTGTTGCACTATAGAGGGGCAACAACACTCTGACCACACCCCCCTTAAGTCTTATTCTTGATTCATTGCACATTATTTCTCCTTCTTTACACTGTGACTGGCTGTTTGCTTTGCATACAGGTCATGAACAAATGTCAGTGGTGTTTATTAAGTTAAAGCTGGCGTGAAGGACAAGGAGATGCCCCCTTTTGAGTCTATAATCTTGTCTGTATTTTATTATTTTTGCATGTAGGGTGAGGTCAGTAAAAGTGGGGTATCAGGTAAACTGTGAGAAATATGTACAAATATCGATATGCTTTTAAATATCAGGAGACAATTAAATATAGCAGTGATTAATACCACAGAGGTTGTCATTCTGTAAATGTTTTCATTTGCCTGGTATCATCATAGTGGGTGTGATCGTGCTTTAACATGTAAATGGTCTCAGGAAGCACATAAAAAATCCACTGGTAGATGAGAATGTTCCTCTCTAACAAAAGCCTGTATAAATAATATAAAATCAATCTAAAATATTACTGTGTATTTTAATTGATGATTTGGTTTTGCAAAACAATCTATATTTTCTTGGTAATCTTTAAACCCATTCTGATGGATTATGATCATTAATCTTCATACTTTTCATCATCATTTAAAATCGAAATATTTCATGATAGCCTAATTGTAGCTGTGCTGTTATGTTATATTATGTTACATCTGATGGTAGCTGGTTTTGTACAGTTTCTAACCAGACCAAATTGGGGTCTAGATCAAGCTAGACCTTGATAAAGCTGCTTAGTGCTGGTAGACAATGTCAGACTGGTAACAACCCAGCTGTCATGCTCCAAAAAGCAGATTGGACACTTTAAACTGATATTACATGTTTTTTTCCAGCAGGGATATAGACCTTAATTTGACAAAACTAGGAATATAAAACCTTTTTCTGTGCTCCATCATGAACATGAAAATCATCATACAATTTTTTATTTTTATTTTTAATAATTACTGCTTTATAATTCAGTAAAATAAATAAATAAAAAAAAGTTTTATGCAACTATAGGGTGAACCAGCTGTGTCATCATATGTTGCTGGCAAAGGGAAGCTCTGTAAGATGGCATGCTGTTTTCTGGACTGCTGTGATTCTGGGGTGTCAGGTCAGGGCCTGCCAGCCTGTTGAGAAGCCCTACGTCCCGTCATACATAATCTTCATTCCCCTCACTGATGGCCTCTGACTCTAATCTGCACAGACCCCCCCCCCCCCCCCCCTTCCCATTTTAGGACAGTGATGTAAGCTGAGGGTGAGAAATAAGATCATATTTTGTTACAAAAATATCAGGTTGGCTGATAATAATGAAACACAAACAATCTAACGGATAGCAGTTTGACATTTGAAGGTGCCTTATTTTTGGATGCCTCATTTTTACTCAGAATAACTAAGAGACAGACAGTGAATGGTAGTGGCACAGATACATAAATCCTGCCACAATGAGTGGCAGCCAATAACCGCATGCTCAGTGGCTTTGGCACACAATGGAACACATTGAGCCAGACTCCCATCCCACGTTCTGTGTGCATTCACACAGGAATGGTTGGAATACAGCGTTTACACAGCTTCACAAATGGTTGCCAAATGCCAGTGCTCAAAAACTCTTGTGAGTTCACCATTCTCTTTTAAACCGCACGAGGACAGAGCGTGCGCTTTTGTCAGACTCTGTTTAGATTTTGGACCATTTGGCTTGAGCAACATTTGAAGAGACACATCTGGTCCATTGTTGAATCTCTACGTTTACACAAATTTATGCTGTCGCTCAAACAATTTAAATTTAAAAATTCACATGAATTTAAGAATGTCTCAGTATTCTCTCTTTTTTTTTTTTACTTTTCAGGGATAGTCCACCCAAAATGAACATTATATTTACTCACCCCCATGTTGTTCCAAACCTGTATGCATTTCTTTCTTCTGTGGGGCCTTAAATAATACATTTGAGGAACAGTGTGAACCCAGCATAGAAGACCACTGACTGTCATTTTATAGACAAAAAATATTTCTCAAACTATCTTCATGTTCCACAGGAGAAAGAAAGTCATACAGGTTTGGAATTACATAAGGGTAATTTTTTGGTGGAGTATTCCACAAGTGTGTCAAACCTGACGATCATGTTCTCCTGCATGATTTCAGTTGATTCAAAGAGCATCTTGTGCTTCAGTGGAAGAAGATCATCTGACTGTCTGTACAAAGAGTCAAATGATCAGTCACACATTTACTTGATTAGTGACATAAAATAGTGCAGAATCTTTAATATTTTCTCTTAATTTAAATTGATTAGTAACCATGGTAATTTCACTTTAGAAATATAACTTTTTTCTAATAGTCAAGAATTAAGACGAGAAGTTTCTTTAATATAGCCTCATGTGTTCAATATAGTCTCAGGCTTTTGGACGACACTGTACTTACACACACGCATACACCCACCCACAGTGTTCAGGCCTCTTGAATCAAACAAATGATTTAAGTGAACAAGAGTGTCCCTCCAAAACAGAGAGTGATGGCACTCTGTGAGATGCCACTTTGTGCCAGGGCTGGTGACATCACGCAAGGCACAGAGAAAAACTGCTGAATCACAGCAGGACACAGAGCCATGTTAGAGTCAGAGCAGTAAAAGTGCAGAGATGTACCTGTGTCTCATTTGCCACGGTCTGATGAATAAGCCTTAGGATACCACACCATATGACCTGCCATATGACATGTTTTTTTCCTCTCTGAAAAAAATAGAGTTCGGCTTTAATAATACAGTAGTGTTTTGTTAACCAAATCTAAAACTTGATAAAGATAATTTTTGGTAATTGAAATAAAACAAAATAAAATGTAAATATTATATGAAACACTTCATCTAAAACATAAACGAAAATTATATTACCTTGGAAACTAACTGAAATGAACTATTATCAGCTAAATATTATTAACTGAATATATTTATAAATATTTAGTCAGATTAATTCAATATTTTTAACTTTAAAATGACTACAACTGAGATAAAATAAAATAATTTAAATCTAAATGGAAATTAAAAATGACAAAGAAATGTTACAGAATTACTCAAACCTAAACTGAAATTAACATGAAATCCGATCATATCAAAATAAAAGCTAATTGAAAATATTCATGAATACTATAACTGTATGTAAACAATAATAATAATAAAAAAACTGATAACCAGATCAGAATTTGTTTTAAGATCATTGATGAAAATATGCCCACATATATGATTTATCCACAAAACTGAAGGGGATGATGTAGAAAGATTTCTGTATGAAGTCATTTTAGGGATTATAGCAGTCAAGCTTTGTTTTGCCAAATGTTTTGTTCATACGGTTGAATGTTACTGTATGTCAGTGTGTGCTACTGTACAGTAACAGCTGATTACAGTAAGTGTTTTGGGCTGGTTTTGTAGTGTCTACAGGAGATTCAGTCCGGCTGATAAATACAAGGGGGAATCACACTACCTCTAATCCCTTCATTTTTTTTGGACCAGCTAGGCCTCTTACCATCCATCAGGATATCAACAGAATTTCACTTTACATCCATCTACATACAGGGGGATGGGAAAGACAAGGAGAGGGAGAAGGAAATACAAAGATGAAGCTGTGGATAAGTAATAAAAGTGAATAGGAAAGACCCCCCGCTGAAATCGAGAGAGTGAGTGCGAGGACGATTCAGGGGGAGGAGATGGATTCTGGGTAGATTCTGGGGCAGCAGCATTTTAATCCCATGTTTAGCTTTGAACAGACTTGTATAATCATATTAATGTCTGTACTGGATAGATCAAATCCGTTGTGGAGATTTGTTTGGCTCATAATTCATTTGCCCCCCGCTGTCAAAATGCACGACAGCTTGATTTGGTTCTTGATGGTTTGTATGTTCGTCACGCAACAGTGTTGCTGCTTTTTGGACCTTTGTTGAACAGGACAGTGTGTAATTGTGTTAATCTGGGTTCTCTGAATGTGGATAGTGTGACAGCTAGAGAAACAATGAGACAGTTAAACTCGTGCCTTGGGTAGTGCACAATGACAAGCTCGCCCTCTCTGTCCCTTTCTTTCTCTCACTATCCTTTTCTGAGTTTTCCTCCTTTATTTTCCCTCAGTGACACTGTTTAGAGGCATAATACATAGTTGTTTTTGTGTTCACATGCTCGTAGTGTACAATTGTGTCACATATGTTTTATAGAAGCATTTTCTCTTGTGTTCTGCCGTTAAAAGGAAATCATCAGTTTAACCTTTCAAAGAGTAACTTATGACAGCTGTACATTTGGCATTCAGCCACATCCTTCAAAATAGCTGCTGATCTTAATATGTGGTGCACAGGCACATGATCAGATTTGTCTAGGTCTGAACATCTGGCCATATTTATGTGTTGTAAGCCTTCATACGAGAAATCTTTGAGTGTTTGACCCCGCTGAGTGTATGCACAATGACAAGCTCGCCCTCTCTGTCCCTTTCTTTCTCTCACTATCCTTTTCTGAGTTTTCCTCCTTTATTTTCCCTCAGTGACACTGTTTAGAGGCATAATACATAGTTGTTTTTGTGTTCACATGCTCGTAGTGTACAATTGTGTCACATATGTTTTATAGAAGCATTTTCTCTTGTGTTCTGCCGTTAAAAGGAAATCATCAGTTTAACCTTTCAAAGAGTAACTTATGACAGCTGTACATTTGGCATTCAGCCACATCCTTCAAAATAGCTGCGGATCTTAATATGTGGTGCACAGGCACATGATCAGATTTGTCTAGGTCTGAACATCTGGCCATATTTATGTGTTGTAAGCCTTCATACGAGAAATCTTTGAGTGTTTGACCCCTCTGAGTGTACCCTAAATTACTCATTGATTTGAAGATATGTAAAAAAAATAAAAAAAAAATAGGCCATTTAATTTTTATTGCAGGATTATCTAGGGCAAGATATATAGAGAGTATGTACATGCCCTTTCAGCTGCATTACATTTTAGGTTCAGGCCTGCTTTGTTTTCACTGATCGCCTTCACTTTTTTTCTACAGGAGGATGGACTTCAGTTTACGTGATGCCTTCACAGATGGGGCACCTAAGGCGACCCAGGACAGCCTGCTGAAGAGGGATTTTGTGGCCGGGTTGGAGGCACAGACCTATGATGATAAAGTGGGCGAGACCGTAGGGAAGTCAGACTACCGCCCCCTTCTAGATGGACTGGATGGCAAAAGAGAAAGTATGTGTTTTTGAATATGAAGTTTTCCCGTAACTGAAAATGTACTCATCTTAATGTTATGCAGTAACAAAATGTTTTAATCAAACACAAAAGGATATTTATTGTTCAAGTATATTTAATGTCCAAGCAGCTTTTTTTCATACAACAAGCTTCCAAATGGATAAAAAAACACCATAAAAGTATAGTATTTGTGACATTTGTACATTTAGAATATGTTACAGAAATTTCAAATAAGTGCTGTTCTTTTGAACTTTTTATTCATCAAAGAAACAAAATGTATCATGCTTTCCACAAAATATTAAGCTGCACAACTGTTTGTAAGATTAATAAGAATAAGTTTTTTTTTCTTAAACACCAAATCAGCATATTAGAATGATTTCTGAAGGATCATGTGACACTGAAGATTGGAGTAATGATGCTGAAAATTCACAGGAATAATAAAGAAATTAAAATAATTAATCAATTAAATAATTAATGAATTCTATTTTGAAATATATTTTTAAAAGAAAACTGTTTTTTTACTGCAAATAAATGTAGCCTTGGTGTTTTTTTCTTTCAAAAACCTACATAAATTGACCTCAAACTTTGAACATTAGTGTATTTATTTGCTGCTTTTTTTGTTGTTGCAGATATGTTGGTTTATATTGTGTAGTAAAATGCAACATCAGGAACAGCCTGTTCTCTTTCACTTTTGTAATTTACTGTCTTCCTTTTGCATTGGACGGTAATCTGGGGCCGGTTGCATAAAAAGGTTTAGACTAGTCTTAAAAGTTATTCATCTAATTATTTTTCTTTAAGACTGGTCAAAAACATTCGGTTACATAAAAACTTGAATAAAAAAAAACAAAAACATTACCCCTTGGCTAACTGCTTGTTGGTCAGACTAGTTCTTAAGACACTGTGTTAACATAGAGGCTAGTTTATGTAACTGGCCCCTGATGTATCTAATCTGAAGTAGATGCTTTTTGTGGTTGTTTATTTGTGTTTCTCTCTTCTCTATCCGCCACAAAGTATAATGGCAAGTGGCAGAAGCACATTTTATTCCTGTCCTCTAGTTTCACATTCTGTTCACGTTGGTTTTATGAGAAAAAAACTCATTGATATTCCAAGGTATTTTTGGTTGCTTTTATGCTTGTTTGTCTAGGACATACGCCTGATCATGGTTGGCAACATCTCAGATCTAAGATTTTTTTTTTTCGCCTCAAACTGTGATATCTTCTGCCAAGAACCCATCCGAGTGATCTCTAGGTTCGGTTAAGCGAACATCATCCTTCCTCCTGGGTTACAAACATCACAACTATTTATTCTTAAATGTGTTTTTTATTTGCTGGGGCATATTTTCACAGTTTAATCACCTGGTATGCATAAAAGCGCTAATAGTGTCTAGGCTACTGACTAATCTGTTATTGTTTAACACTGGTGCTTTTTGTGAAGTTAGTCATTGGTAAAACATCTAGAAACAAACTATTTTAGTAAAATTCACATAGAAGCTATGACATTGCAGTAGGTAAATTAACTTTTAAAGCTTTTGGGCATACTTTTCTGGGATTAGGCCATCCTTTTCTATTTCTCTTTATCCTATATTAATCATATGAAAGGTTTTTTTTTCTACACGTAAGATAAATGTTGACCTTTACAGTATGACATTGGGCTAGTGCTTGACAGAATGCTTAGACATCAATACAGCAGGATGCATTCTCAACAACAGCAAGGTATGTGTATATGTGTGCAAAAGTGAGCATGTATGTGGATGCTAACATCAGCAAATCTGTCCACAGCAGATGTGACGGATATTTTTAATAGCTTCAGTCAAAGATCCATATGAGATTAAATTTCTGCCTCCATTAAGAGAGAGAAATGGCCATTTATTTGATGTTACTGTAAATACTTGCACTCTCAGTATGATTAAGGCTGTAGCATATGTCTTTCTGTAGTAGCTTCTCATCAGATCATTGCTGGAACTGAAATTTCAGTGAGAAATAATTACTAAGTGTAAGTTGACAGTATTGATAAAACATTACAGCCAGCTAGCAGGTAAGGAATATATTTTTCCTGACACACTTTTTCCACTGAAAAGGTTATGTGAGATAAAGCTTGTTTATTGACAAAGTAATAAAGATTCATGGAAATTGTAAGTTGTCTGTTGACAAGCGCTTGAAGGCTCATTTCTAAAGAACAAAGTACAAGTAAAGATGATTAATCAATACATATGCTGGCTATTACAGGCTGTGCAGCTGCTTGGAAAGATAATAAAATTACACTTGAAGTCCATTATCGTATATATTTTCATTGATGTCTTTTTTAGTATCATAACATTTTAATATCGTTTTACATCTAATAAACTGAAGAATTAATAGAAATTTGGCAAATTATGTATTATTTGCAAGGCTCTTGTCCTACTCTGCTCTCATATGACAATTAAATGTTGCAGACATCAAGGGTTTTCAAATAGGTTAGAAAACATTATTTTCATTGTGCAGTATAACATGCAATAGCATACATTGCCAGTTTATTTATTTTAATATACTGCACTAAGTTTTATTGCAAAACATATGCTACAAAAATTTCCATTTTAGTTTTGAGATCTGTGGAAAGTGTGATGTAGAAAAATTTGTCACTTGTCACAAAGTCCAAAAACCATATAAGCAATCTATTGTGGTTAGATTAAATATGATTTATTTTTAATAGGAAATATTAAATCTGTAGTCTTTGAATATAGAAAAATAGCACCCTCTGGTTATTATTGATGTCTAGTTATTGAAATGCTGAAAAAGAGCTTGTGTCAACTGAATAGTTGGTATATAAACATGAATTAGTAAATTAAGTGAAAATAATTACAATTACATTTAGTAGATTCAAGTAGAATTATTTTGTGTATCATTTCAGTGTGCTTTAAAAGGATACACCACCCAAAAATGGTGAAAAATTGGTCATCATTGACTCGCCCACATGTGAATTCTAACCTGTAGGACTTTTTTCTTCTTCTCTGGAACACAAAAGAGGATATTTTGAGAAATGTCTCTGTGTTTTTTGTTTTTTTGTCCATACAGTGGAAGTCAGTGGGGTCCAGTGATATTTGGTTCCCAACATTTTCACAATGTCTTCTACTTAATTAATTAGTTGATCAACTTAATATTTCTGTAAAAATTGTGTAGTATATCTATCATGTTTGTGCGCTTTTGTAACCATATTGCATGAGACACTGGTTCTTTGTCTGTGCTGCTGGTACTCACAGTACAGCATTGGTTTATGACGTTATGTAACTGATTCTGTGCTGAATAGGATGTCTGCTGCTTCCCCCTTTAACTGCAAAAGGAGGCTCTCTACCACAGCATGACTTGGCAGTCTGCACTTCAAGTGCCTCATGTCTGGGACAAAAATGACTATTTTTAGTTCCTCCTCCATTTTGTTGTTTAACTGTAGCTTGTTTTCAGGTTCATATGCTTCTCTTTGTGAGGCCATTGCTCTGTTTGGGTTTATTTTAGTACACCATCAGCATCCCGAAGCATAAAGAAGATTGAAAACATGCTACTTGAGACATAAACACACAAATCACCTAGAAGACCCATTAGGGTCGACCCCTCTGTACCTTATCAACATTCAACTCAAAGGCCTGGCCAACAGATTCCCATTGCATCCTTGCTAATATAGCAGACACAGCATGACTCACAGTGACATGTACACCGATTCTGTTCCACAAAGAGGATAATTGCATGGAGCTGGAACAGCCTAGTCCTGTAGGAGTGTGATCATTAATCCAGGGCTGGTATCTGAGCTAATGCTGGTTCAGTGCTGGTTCCTCGTGTCGGTCAGTTTTGATGCTAACAGAGTGCTTTGCCTAGGGAATGTAGAGCAGCCTCAGCTGGTTGTATAACTACAGTAACAGGCCTGCAGTCCCAGCCTGTCCCATCGTCTCAGCATCACTCATCTCCAGTTGCCCTTCTCATAACGGTGAAATATTGGAATGGATGGGAGCAGGCCTATTTTCAGGGATGCCTCTCCCCAGTGCCTTTGACAGGGGACACATTAAACTAGACAGTCAATCAGATTTCATGAAAGTAACATTTACAGGACTTAATAAATGCAAGTTACTAATGAAGAGGATGTGTTCACCACGCTGTTAAAACACTCCTCTTTTTCACAGATGGGTCATTCTCAGGTGGGTGTTGTGAATTGTGTCTGAGCAATTCAGCATTTCATACATAAAATTACTATACAGAATTATTGTTGAACCATTTAAACCGTGGGTGTGTTTTTGTGTCATTCAAAATTAAAAATAAAATATACTTAATATAATACATTTCCACAGATCATGAAAAATAACTTACAGAATATGTTTACAATTTAACCACATAGATTTCAATTAAATTGAAATAACTTTTGTTGCCAAAAAGTTGGTTATTATTGTTATTTGGTTAATAATGATTAGTGAAATGCATTACAGTTCTTTTAAATGTTAAATTTCTGAAGATTCAGTATTCTGGCTTTTACCCAACAGATCATAAAATTAAAAAAAATAGTCAGAAAGAGCTCTTACTACTACAATTTTGAAGAGATTTTATAATTTGTCAGGAACTTTGGTAGGTCTGATATAGTTCTTTTTTTGTCTAAAATTTAGAAACCTTCCTGTGCCACATTTTTATATATTTGTTATAAATATATTTTATATACTTAACTAACAGGTTAGTTAAATACAGTAGCTACTGTATGTAGTTGTTTTATATACTGATGTCTTTGGTGTTAAAAATCTGTATTTTATTAAAATCACCACTCTCTGAAATGTGAAGAAGAAAAATGTAGAAATATTTATGCATTTTCTGCATAAATCCTTTGCTCTTTAGGTTTAAAAACTAACAGAGTACACTTATACACTTATACAGAGTCAGTTTGTATGTTTTCTCTCTTCTCAGGGTCTGGGTTCATGTCTGTAGGCCAGACTGGAGGGCAACGCCAGGACCCTCAGGGAGACATCCATCCCAGCCCGCCTGGACAATATGTCTATAAGAATGACTTTCAATCAGGTGGGATCATTGCGTACGTCAGGCTTGCTTAAGAGAATTGAATGAAATAGTTCACAAAAAAAATTATTATGTGCTAGACGTTAGTCCAAATCTTTCTAATTCCAGGCCCAACATCAATGATTGAAAAGCCTGTCCAATTAGGAAACCAGCAGATGGGATCTACGATGAAGGACAACAGCATGGACTCTTTTCTGGGTAACCACAGCAATTTTTGTACTTGCTGACTTAAGGTTGTGGGTTCGATTCAGTTAATTTCCTCAGGCTCTGTTCAGTTTTAATGCAGTATTGCTCTACTGCTCTATGCTTCAGGGTTCTCTCAGCCTGGAATGAATATCGGTATGAATATGAATGTTGGCATGGCCCCTTTCCAGAGCTTCAAACCCCCCAGCATGGGTGAACCTCAGAAGACCTTACCCTTGTTTGCCAATGAACCACCCAAACCATCCCAGATAACTGCTAATTCCAGTGAAACAAGCCCTCGTAACAGCCAGGATAATTCTGCAGGTAAAGTCTATCGCCACTTAAGGCACCTCACTGCAGTCTAGAACAGGTAAGACAGACTTTAAACACAGATATTAAGATGCTGATTGATTGTTATATCACATAATGTCCTATGATCACAGCTCTCATATCATTCCACTCTGTCTGGTCAAGGCATGGATGCCTCATCAATATCATGTCATAAGATAAATGCTTCATACTTTTCATGGTCTTCAAGTTATCTCTTATTATGAGTATGATTTTACTGATGTGATAAGCGATAGTAAGGTTGTTAACTCTGGTATTGAATGCCATGAGTATATATACCCCGAAAAAGGGTAATTAGTGACTTGACTAAATATCTTGCTTACTGAAAGGACCATTTCAAAACATTGTACATGATGGATCATGATAGACAATGATCATCATTCACAGTTTGTCCTTTGATTCAGACTAGCCAGTGTGCACTATGTCTTCAATTGTGCATTATGGTGGAAGGCATTTTAAAGAATTTCCTTCGGCCACTCTGTAATATTACTTTTTGAGTGTGATGGCTGTGAAACTGAAAAGAGAAATGTGTCTTCTGGACCAGAACCAGTTTTGAAAGCCATTTCACATTTTAGACCTCATATCTGAAATATAGATGTTACTGCCACGGGCATTACATCCAGGTGATTGTTTATAACCCTTTGATCACTAGTGAATGAGGACAGGCATGTAAAATAGAAAATCATATGATGTAAAACAAAAAAAAGTTTGGTTGGGTCTAGAAATTGATTTAGTTTTTATCTTATTATGCTTTGATGGCTGGACTATAGCACTAGTAAACATCATCCAAATTCAGTTAGCAGTAGGTTTTGTTTCCCTTTAAATGCAATGTGTTTTGATGTTGTCAACCATTGTGTGTTCATTGTTTGTCTGGTCGTTGATTTTGGTTCATTTCAGTGACCTTTATTTGTCCTCAGTGCTGAGATTTATACTGGGTATTCCATGTCATGTGAGTCTTCTCTGTGGCTTTTCTTTGAGTCAGTCTCTCTGTGACTTGCCTCTGTTGTTATCCCTGTCTGTTATTTCTCCATGAATTAATTTGTCCATTTGCACTTTCACTTGATGTGCTCTCAAGTAAGCACATCGTAGTCTCAGCACATTATCTCTCAGCCCCTGCTGAAACTATTACACCCATTTAACTGCTCTCTGCAGCAAGTATGAGCATGATACCCTTAGATCTGTTATCTTACATTAAGTACCTATTTGGTGAACAGCAGTGATAGGCCTTTATCAGGATGTAACATACATATATCCATTAAAAAGCCATTTTGTTTTCTCTAGAGCTGTTCAGTTTATACGGCTAACTTTGAAGGCTAATTTGCCACTGGAGAATTTCCACTGGGTTTTCTGTAGTTCTGCAAACTAAATGACAAACAGTCATACCTCAAACTTGAATTTTGAAGCCTAAGTTAAATACTTAAAGGGAACATAACACACACAGTTTCGGCCAATGTCATGTTAATCTTGAGTACCTTTATAGTAGTATTGCATCCTTCATATCTACAAAGAGTCTTTAGTTTTATCAGATTTATAAAACAACTTTACACTTCTCTCCAAAAATAGCCGAGCTCCTGGAGGCGTGCCGTGGGCGGAGCTAAAGAGTCAGGAGCACTTGCGCGCCGATTGCCAATAAAACACAGGAATTTGATGCAGTTTTACTTACCGCCTGTGGTTCCGACTCATGATCTTTTATCGCTGGGACCGCTCCACCGTTTAGTATCAAACGATATGCAAATCCAGCTTCGAACTGGGCTTTATTTATAAAACATCCATCACCGAAATGACAGGAACAAACAAACACACTTGCGAAACTGTTGATGTCCCGGAAAAACAAACTGCATCCACTGTTCATGTAAAGCTGAGTTCTTTGGAAATCTGAACAAAGTTATCTTTCCCTAACATCCAAAAACACACTTCTTTGGAGACATTCTTCTCAAGCAAGTCCTGTGCAGCGCTGCCGACGACTTCCTTAATGGGAATGAAGCGCGCTGATGGACTGCTCTTGCTTTCGCTCTGTTTGGTGTGTCCGTGTGCTCTTCCGGGAGAAGTGCCCATACAAGAAATTCCGCCCTTCATGATGTCATGAAGAGCCATACTCGAAAAAAAACTTTCTTAAAGGGGTCATATGACGTTGCTAAAAAGAACATTTTGTTGTGTATTTGGTGTAATGTGATGTGTTTATGCGGTTTAAGGTTAAAAAAGCACATTATTTTCTACATACTGTACATTATTGTTTCTCCTTTATGCCCTGCCTTTCTGAAACACGTTGATTTTTACAAAGCTCATCGGTCTGAAAAGCGAGGTGTACGCTGATTGGCCAGCTATTCAGTGTGTTGTGATTGGCTGAATACCTCAAGCGTGTGACAGAAATGTTACGCCCCTTACCATTACCATGTGATGCCGTGTACCGGCGCGATGAGACTACACCAATAAAACTCATTACAAACGAGGCATTTGTCGCATCCAGTGGGCACATAATTACTGATTATAATGACTTGTACTGTCTTTTTATCACGCCGCATAAACATAAAACCCTGTCTGCATTTGTGATCGGAGAAATGACAAACAAGCGTTACTCTACACTGCTCAAAACTCACGTTTGAATCGTCAGTGGCAAATTCTTTAAATATAAAAAACGTACTTAAAGGCTGTGAGTCAGAAGCACCAGACTGTCCTTGCAAAGTTGGAACTGCCCCACTTTATAGAAACAGCCTTTGTGCACAGACACATTGTAGGCTACTCTTCCAGGATCAGGAAACAGTCCTCCATAAAATGCTCTGCACACATCTGAATATTTGGGTTGAACTGTTCTGGAACAGTGTTGTAAATACAACTTAACCACTGATTTCTTGTTGTCCTCTTTTGGAAGGCCAAACAAAGTAGTTTCGCTTTCACAACAAAACACACAGCGTCACACACGGCGGGCTTGAGAACGGCGTGGCCAGCGGTCTTGTGGCAACCACATGTGAGGAATCCGGGCTAGACTCCGCTTCGTCCACGGTGAAAGCCGATCCGGCTATCCACAGCACGAAGTTGATGTATTTCCTCAGCGACCAGCATGGCTCAGCTCTAGGCATAACAAAACGGATATCGTCCTCTTTTGGAAGGCCAAACAAAGTAGTTTCGCTTTCACAACGATGGCGGCGGTGGCAACAAAACTACAGCGAGAATAAAAGTTACACCTTCTTTCTTTGCGTGAACATTTGGGCGGTGTTATGCAAATCTTCCCACACAGTGACGTAGACATGTGGGGGCGTGTTTAAACGAGGCGTTTTGGAGGGCGGGGACAAGTCTAAACTTTTATAAAGAATATCTCTTTGGGTTTGAGACTTTAGTCTTTGCAACTTTAGGGATCTTATCTATGCACGAACAGCTTGTAACACTCCAAAGAGAAAGGAAAATGTGAAATTGCATCATATGACCCCTTTAAACTTATACAAACCCAGAAGGAGTGTATTTGGCACAGAAATACTCAGTCATATGTCCAAATATTTTTTTTTATTTGGTCATGTTTATCATGAGAATCCAGCTCTTTAACTGTGTAAATAACTCAGAATGCATGAAATAGCATTAGACCCCCCCCCCCCCCCCCCCTTTAAGTTGCAACATGTTGTTAAATAGGAAATACAACACCCAATTTGTCAAATGCTTGTTGTTGTAGTCACTGTCAGTAACTTGCTGGCAACTTAGGACAGGTGTACACAATGCAAGTTTTGGCAGTTGAGAGAACGAAAGCCCTTGCACACCTTACAGTTTACCTGATAATTTTACCGAAGCCATGTTTCATGACATGTCTGTAATGCCCGGCAAGTTCTGAAGGAAATCTGATTAATTGTTTTGCAATTTTTAGCATTTGAAACATGAAGTTACTGCTTATGCTGAATTTCTGGATCGGAAGCTCATAAGGTGTTAGTCTCTGCTCGTAATATTTCACACAATGCAATCTGGACCATCAGCAATTTCCACACATTGGGGAGCATGCATATTTAGCTTGCTGTGAAAGCCTCCTCAAGTAACATTACTCTGAGATCTTTTAATCATTAAAAAATTACTCCAAAACCCAATGGAAATTTCCAAGGGAACCCATGGCTAATGCTAATTCTTTAGAACTACACACTGAATGATGCTGTTCATTGTGAATTTGTGAATTAGTTAATAGTGAATTTTGTATGTCTTCATATCATCTTCTGGTGTAACGCACCATATGATGCAAGTGATCAGTGGTTCATAGGTAGCTGATCTATTGTCTCTTTGGACTCTTAATAGCTGTTATGAGTTGGAGATGAACAAATTTTGTTGTCCGATAATTTGTATGGTAGTCAGTGACACTTCCTCTTCCTCTCTGTACACAAAGAAGTTTTGGGAAGCCCTTGGACAGGTGAGGAAATGCTCTCTACGGAGCTGTCCCGAGCTTCCAACAAGGCAGAACAGAGTCATACTGACACCTTGGGATTCCAAAGTCAAGATGCAGCATCTGGTGAGGAAAAGTCCATAGAGAAAGGAACCGGAAAGCAGCAGAAGCGAAAAAAGAAGAAACGCAAGAACAGGGAAGAAATGTATGACCTTCTGGACAGTCTTGGTTCCCCTGACTCAGAAGAGACTCCTTCTGAAAGCTCCAACCACGGCTGCCCCTCACCTCCTAGTAGGGACGAAGACATTTGGGAAAGCGAGATCCAAGAAAGAGGGGGAGGACGTATCAAGGCCAAGAAGAGTAAAAGCAGGATGAAGCTACCGGAGGATTGGAGTGCTCCTCCAACCATAATGAACATGGACTTTAGCAGCCCTAATTTGGGTGATTTAAAACCCCCATCCAGTGCTAACATAGATCAAGGAAGTGCACCACCCTCACTCACACCTGAACCTCTGCACCTCACGGGCACCCAAGCATGCAGACCCCAACCGACAGGGCAAGCAAACACTTCCTTATTCATGAATTGCCCAGACTCCACTGCGAATCCCATAGATGACTCAACTTACGAGATTGATAGGGATATGTTTAATAAGGATAAATCAACTAAAGACAATATCAATAAGTCTAACCTAGAGTTGCCTGGTATTCACCCTTCAGATCTGTTACTCATGGACTCAAAGACTGACCCAAATGATCCCGACCAGAAGTCAACCTTTGCCCTCAGTCCAACTCAGACTGTTATGTTCCTTGACTCTGTGCTGCAGGCAGAGACCACAGATGCAAGCCCCCCATCCCACAGCACCCCCGTGAATACTCCCATCCCTCACACCACTGCCCCAGAGGCCGCTCCTGATCTGACCACTGGCCCACTGTCCATCGGCACAGACATCCCTGCCTGTCAGAGTGCACCAGCTTTTAGTCACTCTTCCCCAACAATTACCCCCAGCACTGCAGAGAGCTTAAAACCCAAGGCTACACCTTTCATCCCTTCACAAACAAAGCAGCAGGAGCCCCCGCTGGCACAGCCCCCCCTACTGGAAGGTTGGTGATAATGAAGACTGTATGGAGATGATTTACATAATGCATGGCTCAATGAAGTGGGCCCTCCTCTGCTTAGCTATCTCTGTAGCAGAAAATACTGTAAGACACTAAATACTCCATATCTATCTATCTATCTATCTATCTATCTATCTATCTATCTATCTATCTTTCTTTCCTTCCTTCTTTCCTTCTTTGTGTCAGTCCTCTATAGCTTGGACATTTGCTGCATGTAGTCCATTCTTATAATAAAGATGTTTAACATTTCAATGCAATCATAACACACTGATCGCTATGCATCACGACTTGCAGCCGACTAACTGTTATTCTTTAGTCTATCATCCCCTGGATTTCAGTACGATTTGTCTTGGTCACAGCATCCCTCAAAATGCACATGACTTGTAGATGTGTGTCAACTAGTCAACTGTCTATGTGGTATTGTACATTTTCTAATCATTCTGTGGCTGAACAGCTTTCTGTATGTCACTCCCCACCATCTTATGCTATATGACTCTTTATTCTGCTTTAGTCTTGTTCAAAACTGTCAATCCAATGTTCATGAGATTTAGAGGTCTGTCTGCCAATTCACCTGCTACACACAGATTTTAAAATGGTTATCTTTAGATTTATTTAACCTTTTTTAATTTTTAGCAGAAAAAAAGTTTTGTAAGTATCTGTTAATGATGCTCTTTTCTTCTCCTTTTCATGTTAATCACTGTTTGAACAACACTGGACATCAACCAGGTAAGAAAATATCTCATTATCTCATTGTGTATTGTGGGTACAGCCCCTGTTTGTGTAGTACATACATTATGAACTTTATGAGTTAAAGCGTTTTTGATATATTTGGAGAGTGGGGATGCACAATATATCAGTACTTCATGAGTTATTTAATTCAGCACTTTTGCTATTTTTATGTGGCGTTAATATGTTTAGATTATCTTTGCTGTTATCAAATGCTCACTTACAGTTCTTTAAAAAACATAAAATAACTATTTAATGTAATATTTATCTAGGGCCGCACGATAAATCGCATGCGATATTTAACGCGCATCTTATCAGTAAAGCCGGTTCTGTAATCAGCGGTAAATCTCCATCTGCTGCTCAATGTGAAAGCCCGCAGGTGATGGAGATTTACCGCTGATTACAGAACCGGCTTTCTGACAAGATGCGTGTTAAATATCGCATGTGATTTATCGTGCAGCCCTATATTTATCAAATCTCAAAATGAATATCCATTTTAATACTGTACATTATGTTGAGAAGCCTAAATTCACTTATAGTATTTAAAAAGATAGATTTTTGTGTTTTATGTTTCATTTATTTAAAGAAACACTCCACTATTTTTGAAAATAGGCTCATTTTCCAACTCCCCTAGAGTTAAATAGTTGAGTTTTACAGTTTTCGAATCCATTCAGCCGATCTCCGGGTCTGGCGGTAGCACTTTTAGCTGTAGCTTAGCATAGATCATTGAATCTGCTTAGACCGTTAGCATCTCGCTCAAAAATGATATTATGCAGCGCCTGAAAATAGTCCCAGCTAGGTAACTTCCAATAAGCCTATTTTCAGGCGCTGCGTAATATCACTGCAGCAAAGTTCCTTGATTATTACGCCGGAATGAGAGTATAGTTCCCAAGCCATATCGGCCTAGAAAATCGCAACTTTTCATTTTCCGTCAGTCGTAGTACACGATGTAACTACAGAAGAGTCAAGTTTTAAATAGGATAAATATCGAAACTCTTTGGTCATTTTGGAGCGAGATGCTAACGGTCTAATCAGATTCAATGATCTATTCTATGCTACTCTACAGCTAAAAGTGCTACCGCCAGACCCGGAGATCGGCTGAATGGATAAACCATATACTATACCATTTCAGTCTCAGTGATTTATCTGTTTTTAACCATAACATCCATCCCTATTGGAGATCTTAAAACAAATAATTGAGAACATAATTTTTTCTAAGCATAGTTCAATCCCTTAATCACCCGAACTTAATGTTTGTCAGTAAGGCTACAGTGTATAATGTTTTCTTTTCAAAGCCTTTATCCACCTTATTTTTCCTGTTAGAGCGGGCGCGGCCATTTGTAAATTTTATGTGTCTGTCTTTCGGTCTCATCTGCGTCCAGCTATTTTTAGCTGTATAAAACAGCACGTTTTGCTACTTGATATTGCAGATTGGTGTCTTACCATATTATATTAATGTATCATCTTAATTACGAACACACTGGTTTGTAGTGCAAATAGTTTTACCGTTTACTGCACGTTGTAAATCTTCTCATTATTTCCCTATAGCGGCTAATGAACCGGAAGTCTGGCCCATAGGCTTACTTCCGCATCGAAGAATAAGGTGGATATGGGTGTTGCCAAGCATTCTCACTAATCTCTGATAATGAATTTGACAAATTAGATTAATTTAGTTTGGCTTGGGTGAAAAAGCTTACAGATTTCCATTTACTAGATTGTTTATCTAATCAAGTAAACAATTGAGTCAAGAACAGAATATTTAAGATTAGTTATTTTTAGTTGGTGATATTTATAGGTTGAATTCATACTCCCTATAGTATTATTGTGGCTTTCATCTCTCTCTCACTCTCTCTCACACACACACACACACACACAGAAACACACACATCTCCTCCTATCTCTCCCATCCTCTTGCAGCAGCTCATGTAAAATTGATGGCTGTGCCGTTCGCCATTATATAAGACTCATAGTGTTGTTCTTTTTATAGCGAGTGATTAGGGTGTGTTCAGAGGCGTTTGAAAGGTGCTGCACTCTGGTAGGGGATATTGAGTACTGGGTGGTAGCTTTGGACCAAAAGCTAACACAGAGATCCCAAATCACGTCTTGAATGATGTAAGGACTTTAAGCTGGTTTCAGCTGATCAGGTTTATTCATCTAGCTATTCTTCTAGTTTTTGTCACAACACTTGTTCTTCTCTGGATTTCAGTCTTTTAAATGCAGAAATAGAAGTTGCTCTTCTTGGCCCATTGTTCCTTCCCTTTACTCGCATCAGCCTTCTCGTCCTTTCTTGCCCTTGCTCATTCACTTCCTCTCCCGACCACAGAGGATCCTAATATCAGCAGCTGCATTGACGGGGAGACTGTTACCATGGATATGGGAGGCGGTTTCCTTGGTGATGCAGCGAATAGGACCTGCCAAAGAACAAGCTAGGGTGTAACTGTAGGATATGTTCCAGAAATAGAAACTCTGTGACACAGCTTCCCGATTACTCAATGAGCATGCATCTTCTACCCCACGCTAAATGTGTTAAAATGCATTTCTTATGCTGTGTTTTTATTACTGAAAAGAATATTGTGATAGTTTAATGATGGTGTACAGATATTTTTATATTTATGCACTGGCATAAAATTGCTTCATTTGTCCGAATGCTCTATTTATGGTCATCATGATACTTAAATTAAATTGATTGTAATGTAGATGCATTTTAATATGATTAATAATATAATAACATTTAATAGAATACAATGGCAATACTGTATATGCCCATGTCAGATGCATTCATTTATTGTCTAAATGTCACATAATGACAACAAAAAATATTATATCGACAACCAATCGAAACCAAGATGAAACCAAGATGAAAATGCACTAAGAAATGGAATGAAGTGACAGGAAGTTTCAATATCCTCTGTATATTGAACCATATGATGTGGTGCAGTGTGTTCTTAGAGGAATGTAAACAGTAAAATACATCTGACATGTCCATTCACAAGAATCTGGCTCATTATAGCAATGAGACGGTCAGAGAGAAAATACTTATTTTATATCTGTCACTGGCCTGGAAGGCCACTGCAGCTGATGCATTGTACTTTGTGTGTGTGGGAAGTTCACTCTAATTAAGGTGCCTGAGCCAATCAGACTACACATGAATTATGTCATCACATGCCTCTGCTCAAGTCTGGAAGGGCGTATGCAGTGGGAGCCAGACAAGTAAGATGTAATACAGGTTTTGCGGTGTCCCTGATATAATTTTAAAACCACGTTTTTTACTGCTCACATTTTTCATGTTAGGATGCCTGTAATTAACTGGTTTGTAGGTTACCTAATATAGAGGTTTAAATGTATGTGCTATTTCTGTGCAGATACATACTGTAAAGTGCTGAATAATGCAGAACTCCGCTGTTGTGACGGATTGTGGAAGTAATTTATGTAGCTCAGCTTATTTATGTTTAATGATTCATGAATAATTGTCTTCCTTGATATGATCATCAGGTGTGTGTCACCATAAAAACCTTCATTTCTCAAAAACAGAAGACAGTGAGAGGATATGGCTGAACTGGAATGGGACTTATGGCTGGAGGGAGAGGATTTTTTTTTTTTTTGAAGGGATAGTGTCTGACATCTGATTTATCTGCTTGAGTGTAAGAAAAGTTTTTTTTTTAGTTTTTTTTTTTTAATTCAAGCCACAAATACATTGTGATCTGCACAAAACATGTTAATCCATTGCAAGCAAACAGATGGCTATTTTGGGTCGCTTTTTCCTTGTGTTGTTCATGGTGTTTAAGGATGAGGACATGTCTGCTACTTGTCTATGTTGGCATTGGTCTAGTTTGACTGGCTTGACTGGTAAATACTTTGAAATTTGATTGGATACACACCTTTTGAAATCATGAACAAAAAATATCAAGGGTGTTTTCTCTTTTTTTTTGATGTAGTTCCATTATATTATTTGCATTTACCATTGTTTTTCTCTGCCGTCCACAATCCTATCAGAACAGACCAATTGTGGGTCGCCAACCACCATTTAAAGACCACTGCATAAAAACATCAACTAAGGCATTGGTACAGTCACATTTGAGCTTGAAATATGATTGCTATTGCTGGTCTGTGCATGCATTTACAGTCCTCACTGTGGTGATATGTTTCAACTCTTGGACAAATCCTGATATTCCAAAAATTATTTCTTTCTGATGTGGAACACAAAATAAGATATTCTGAAGAATACGTTTTTTTTCCCTTACAAAAAAAGTAAATGGCATCCAAAGTGGTTTTGTACTCCAAAGACTTCCATTAAATCGGACAGTTGAAGCATTCTTCAGAATAACTTTGTTTTCCACAGGAGGAAGAAAGTCTTAACAGGTTTATAAATAAAAAAAATACAAAATATACAAGGGTGAGTAAATGATGATAGACTTGTCATTTTTGGGTGAACTATACTTTTAACACACTCTCATAAGAACACTCTAGAGAAGGAAAGGCACAGTAAACAACAGAGGTCACACTTCCATCAACCTCATATGTGAGAGACGGAGGAATATAATGGTTCAGCTGATTGCTCCAAATGTGACTGATACTGATGTTATTGTGTTGAGTGAGAGAGATAGCACCTGAGGACCAGGTAATGATGACATCCTCCGTCACCACCGCTAAGGGTAAAGGTGCATGCTTGCGTCTGCTAGAGCATTCTGAGCACCAAACAAGACAATGTGTGAGTGAGATAGAGAAAGGGATATTTATAAACACACTGGATGCTAAAAGCAAGGGTTTTCAGTCCGGAGCATCCAATAAGGACGCGGTTCGCGTGATCACGTGATCGAAGACTTGGAAGGAATGTGCGGACAGAATTAGGGTGAGAGAGAGAACGAGAGAGAGGAGGGGGAATTGGGAGAGAGACGCAGAGTCATCTCAGCCTCGGCATTGAGGGAGGTTTAGAGACCAGCACTATAGACTTACTCATCTAAATCAATGCCGTACACTGACGGATAGACACCTTGATACAGAACAAATATATCTAGAGAGACAAGGACTGTAAGTATGTCATCCCAGCGCTCAGAGTGCAGAGATCTGTGCTCCGTGCCACCCTCCATGCCAGGCTTGGCATCGTTAACAGCTGCCCAGGGCTGGAACTGGCAGCAGGGGCAGCCAGGCAGTCTGCAATCCTCCAGACTGTTAGAGGATGACAAGCAGGACCTTTCCACCAAATCGACAGCACTCAGCCAGGAGGCCGACCAATGGGTAACCAGTCACCAGAGCAGCAGGGGTGGGAAGAATTTGGGCAGTGCAGCAGAAAGTCCCACAAGTGTCTCGTCCTCTCCATCTCCCGCATCTTCAGGGAAAGACCTTTCCACCAATGGGGTGACATCAGGACCTTCACCAAGGAGTGGCATCTTGACATATTCAGACAGAGGTTGGGATCCACCCTCCAGCATCTCGAAAACAGGCCTCGCGCCGAATTATTGCGTGATTGGCATGGTGAATGACAGCTATGTGGAGGGCGAAGTTGAGGGCAAAACGGAAACACGCCCACCCATGTCACCCCCCATGCAACAGAACCGAGTAGTCCAGCGCACAATGTCAGACAGTACCCACTTGACAGTGCCTGCTAGCCTTCAGCTGCCTGATAAATATCCAGGCAAGGATGTGCCGCCACCCCAGAACGCCATCAAATATTTCACCGTAGAGGACAAACAGAGTGTTCTGCCATCCATGAGTATCCCATCAGCCCCGACTACATATAAAGAACAGCCTGCTGGTGTGCCACAGCGTTCTCAAAGGATACAGTTACCGCCAAAGCCATCGGGAAGTGGAAATGTGGTTTCATCCCCTGACATTCAGCCTAAAGGTGTCTGTAATGGTAGGTGAGACTAGCTGCTGTGATCTCTGTGGTGTGATGTAGGATTGGGATCTGTTTAAAGTATGGTGGATCTCTAGATTTCTGGTTCTTGCATAGCATTTTGTGTACTTATGTCCTTGCACCAACTGATGTAATTCAGTTTATCTGTATATATTATACTGTACTGTATTGTGTGACAGAGCTGAACAGACACACAACCATTCAAAAGTTTGGGGTCCTAAGATTTTTTAAATATTTTTGAAATATGCCACTTATGTTCAACAAGACAGTACAATAGGAACAGTAATATTGTGAAGTATTAATACAATTTGAAATAGCATTGTTCTATTTCAATATATTTTAAAATGTAATGTATTCCTGTTATGGCAAAGCCATTACTCCAGTCTTCAGTGTCATATGATTCTTCAAACATTATTCTAATATGCTGAATTGGTGCTCAAGAAACATTTCTTTAATATCAATGTAGAAAACAGCCTAATAGTTTTGTGAAAATGGTAAATTTTTTCAGCATTCTTTTAAAATATACAGTTCAAAAGAACATTTATTTGAAGTAGAAATTGTTTATAACATGTAAAAATGTGTCCTTGCTGAATAAAAGTATTGTTATTTTATAATTTTTTTAATCTTACTGACCTTAAACATTTGAATGGTAGTGTATTTTGATTTTGTTTCCTCAAATGCTCCAGCAGATGGTATTGTGTGTGTGTGCAGGCATTTCTGTGTATTAACACACCTGATGAAGACAAATTGCCAGATGCAGAGGTTATAGATACAAGTATGAATAGACAGAAAAATGGATAAGATTTGCTGTGTGTGCCACTGGCCGCCTGCAGGGATACACAAAAATATCAAGAGAGTAACCTTTTGGAGTAACCTTTTGGATGTCCTTTTGTCATAATTAGCTTTTACTGTACTGAGATGAGCCCACGTTTCACACGTATACACTTTGGCATATTACCGTCCATTTATCCATCTGTAACGATGCGAAGAGCTTCAGAGGATGATTTAGGGTTATGGTTTTCATCCAGGGTCTCTGACGGCACCCTACTGAAAACATACTAAATGTTCATGACAACTATTAACAAATTTCTAACTTTGTGAATGTTAATAAAAAGTGTCACAGAATCTATCTGATTTTAGGTTGGAAAAGACCTGGTAAAGAGGACAAAACAGACCTTAAAAAATCTATTTAATTTCATTCAAAAATACTTCTATTTCTTCTTCATATCAATATAACAAAATAATAAGGTCGTCACAGTGTAAAAAAAAAATATATATATATATATACTTTACTAAATTTGGTCAAAAAAAGAAAAAAAAAGTAACAATGATAAACTGGATGTTTTAGACATGTTGGCCCGTCATTTCTTTCAATGAGTATTTTTCACCCTGTGTACTCAGTAACAGTGTACTCTTTTGTCCTTTATTTCTTTGTCGTTTTCTCTCTCTCTCTCTCTCTCTCTCTCTCTCTCACACACGGTTTTTTGGTGTTTTGGTCTTCCATTGGCCATTGATTTTTCACTTTGTGGGGAAAATGGTGCCAAGTTACATAAGGCATCCAGGCTGACAATGTGCTTTTCTGTCTGTCCGCTCAAGGCACTGTCACTTTCTGTGCCCTTTTCCATGACCGCTCATGCTCTTCTACTCTCATTCTTATTATCAGAATGTTCTGAGACTGAGACATAAATTGTAGTTTACTGTTAATGTGTGTCCCCAAAACATCTTGGATATTAAAACAAGCTACAACCACAAGCCTTGTGTGAACAAACATGCATTTTAATGATCATAATGACAATGATAAAGAAAATAATTGTAAATACACATTTGCATGATTAAATATGGGAATTTCACATTTGTGTTTTTAAAGTGAAAGATAAGACAGCCAAAGAGAAAATGGAAAACATCAACATAATTGAGAAGCAAGACAAGCCTGAGAAGATGGAGAAGATTGATCACCTGGGCAAGAAAGATGAGATCACAAAGAAAACAGACAGTGTGGATAAGACTCAGAAGAGTGAGAAGATCATCAAAGATGAGAAGAAAGTCGAGAAAGAGGAGAAACAGGACAATAAAGCTGAAAAAAACAAGAAGGTTGAGAAAGTAGACAAACCTGAGAAGACAAACAAGGAGAAAGAGGAGAAGAAAGACAAGGGAGAAAAAGTGGACAAGACAGCCAAAGCTGAGAAGAATGCGATGGCTGCTAAAAGACCTGCTAAGTCTCCAACAGCTAATGGGAGCAAGGAGGTGTCCACGTCCAGTCCAGATAGTAAGGCCAAGGTAAGTCTGAAAAACTTCATTAATTTAATATGCTTTTATTTAAACTGCCGCATTTGAGAAGAAGAGGTGTTTGCTCTCATTTTTCCATCTTTATTAAGAATAGAGATCAGTTACCTAAACTCACAACTTATGATTTATGAACAATTTGTTTTTATCATGCTCCCATGTTTGCATCTAGTTTTTCCTTTGTGCTTTTTGCAAATACATGCATATAGCCTTCAGTTGGGTCAACCAAACAAAGCTCAGCAAGACCAACCTCGCTGTCCACTGGAGACAGTGCAGGCGCCACCAAACGCACATCTCCCACCACCAACTCTGCCAATAAAAAAAGCCCTGTGCCCAAGGCAACAACCCCCACTGCTGGCACCAAGAAAACCCCCACCATCTCAACTACTTTTGAGACTAAGGCCAAGGTGAGTTAATGCCATTTCCCTCATCTGTGGTTTGGCACCCGGCCTACAATCCACAGGGGAGACCATTTGTGACTTTCTTTGGTGCCCATCTCTCTTCCAGCCCATGTGTCATTGTCAACTCAAAATGTTCTACCACCAGCAAAATCCCATAAGAGAGACATGTTTTTAGGCTTTGGATCAAATATATGGTGCAGTTTTGTTCTGCCTCTTAAATTTTTCGCAAGGACAATTAATCAATTAATTTGACAGGACTAAGTATATGCCTCTCTGTTGTGATCAGGTTCTAAATTACTTTTCCTCTAACTTTCATGCATGGAGCTTGTGGATTATGAATCTATAATTCAGATCACTCACCTTTTTATTTAGTGTCATCTTTCTCTGCTCATTTTCTGTATGGGTGATTTTTCATTTAGGGGAATTTTTTTGTCCTTTAGGTAATTGAGATTTTAGATTTGTATTATTATTAGAAAAAATATAGTATAATAATAGTAGTAAATTAATATATGCCTTACATTTTAGCTCGGAAACAATGAATTTATTTTAATTATAGAATTTATTTTAGGTTGGTGATCAAGGTAATGATCAGAACTTTCATCTGGGTCATGTGATGGAACATTGCTTTTGTCAAGATTTCAAGTAGTCAAACTCTGCCTTAATTGATCAATCACTCTGAAGCATTAAGCCACCCTATGTATGCAACTCATCTAATCAACTTCTTGACTTCAACTGATTTCCCCTGGTCGTTCAGCCTGCTGATGAATTATTGTATTCTTCAGTCTTCTGAAACAGCAACCCAGGGTCGCTCTCCAGTGCCAAAGGCTAAAGCTGCATCTGCTACAAACTCTAAAAACGGCACTAACACCCCAACTACCACCTCTGCCCGACGCTCCTCTGGTGAGTTGTTCCGTCATATAGAACTCAGTCAGGATAGATGGCATATTGAATTTTACAATGATGAATATGAGGCATAAACTTACAGTCTTTATAATTACATGCATAGTATAAAGGTCCTAGACCATAAATCATTTTTTTTTTTACTTTTTTTTTTTTACTTTTTGTCTACTGAAAGATTTTGTAAAGGTGTTTCTTCAGTGAAACAACTGGCAAGTTGCTAAACAACAGTACAATCCAACAGTGCATTGCAATTCTGTCCCTCACAGCCTCATTTTGATTCCTATCATGGCACTACCATTTCTGTAGGAGCTCAGGTTAAGCATTCACTGATTATTTAAAATCAGGATAATGATGTTATGACATTTAAATTTATTTAATTTGATTATGTCTTTCACAGCTACAAAGATTGAAAGCCAAGCAGGAGAGGTGAAAAAGACAAGTGCAAAGACAACACCAGGTGAGAATAAAGCGATTTTCTTATCGAGAGAAATATTTTACATACTGTTAGAAATAGACATTGTTATAAATTACACATGGTATATTACATTTGCTACTACATCCTGGCAGTGATAGTTACATACAGTATAAAAATTGTATCAGATTGCTTTGGTTTAATTGCTATCAAAATATGAGTTGGTAAAATATATAGAAAATAGTTCTTGTTTAGCTATAATTGCACTTGCACTGGACAATTCAGTGACTGCTTGTTTCTCAGCTTATTATAGCCGTGTTGTACAATGTAAACAAAACTATATTTCACGGTAGAGTAATAAATTCCTATGCATTTTAATTTCCAGAAGTTGCTTTAGGACAGACCGTAAAATTGGAACTTGTGATTTTCAAAAGCTCTCACCATTTTTATGTGTAATATATGAATCAGTATACCATTTAAGGCTATGTGACTGGATGTAATATAAAATGAGTTTAACTGTGCATTCAAATATCTTTTTTTCCAATATACTACAAACCATCAAAATATTAAGAAAGACAAACATTTCAATTAGCAGAGACTTGAATAACAACCATTAAATGAAATTAAACCAATTCTGGATAAATAAACCAAAAGTCCAACAGATTCAAGATTGGAGAGATCCTCTTTACAGTGGTCAGCAGAGGTGCTTATGCACAAATAAAGGTGCTTACTTGTCTGTAGCTGTTACTGAATGCTGATTTGATGGAGGCTTAAAGAGCAGGGTGAGAAGTTTACCTCTACTCTTTCCTGAAAACACAGCAGTTCTGAGCTAATACACACTGACTACAGCATTTGTTAGTCATCAAATCTGAAGCTGCTGACATAGTCAGGGATAGACTTACTCAAAACATCGCAATGATAGAGCCTTCAACTCCTCTCTACATCTCTGTGTACATAAGAGCCGAAAACCTTGTCACTCAGATGAGGTCTTGGCACTTTTCTGGTGACTTAGGAAGAAGAAACATTCATGAGGTCAATGACAACAAGATTTATCTGTCCGTGATCTCTCATGCATACTGTATTAAATCTCCTGTATTCTGCTGTTTACTGCTACAGTAACTTGCATTTTGTTTTGCTGTTAAAACAACTCCAGGGACAACTCGCACAGCACCCTCTGTCACCAGTATGGCAGCCACCAATGGGACCCCGACCTCTCGTACCTCCCGCATCACCAAACCCCCCGTACCCAAGCAGACTCCCCTAGAGAGGAAGCCTCCTGTACCGCGAGCCCCCCGAAACATCCGGCCCACAAACGCACCACTGCCGGATCTAAAAAATGTGCGCTCCAAGATTGGTTCCACCAATAACATGAAGTACCAGCCTGGAGGAGGCAAGGTGAGTTGACTGGTCAAGAGAGAACCAGGAGAATTTGCATGTGTGCAAGGAATGAAATAATTTGGGCTTTAGAGACACGCATAGATATTGCACTCAACCTCATTTGTTTACAGACTTAGATTCAATTTGATGCATTATTTGGCAACACATGATCATAAGCTCATGTTCTGCACTATTGCTGCTATTAAACACATTATGAAATCTCTAATTCTGTTATAGTTGCTTCTCATACGTACATCTCATGTCGCTGCTGGTCAATGTAAATGCCATTATTCATTGGATTGATCCTGAGATACTCTAAGATACTGTCAGTTTTGACTGAGCTCATGGATGCACAGCTTTCAACAATGTGCTGTGATTGACATCCTCCAGCCAATGGAAAACAAAGCTCTCACTTTTTTATTGCTGAATCTGTAGAATTTATTTGTCTGTCTTCTATAGCCGTCTCCCAGCCACCTATCCTTCCCCATCCCGTATAAATAAAAAATACCGTGTGTAACAGGACACCCGGAAGGTTTTTCACTTTTCAGGGAAGATCTAGAGAACACCGTGCATTAGGACTGGCTGTTTCCATATTTACACCATCTGTAATTCAGATGGGGACTGTCAAAAAAAGGCCACAATGCATCATTTAAATTAAAATGTCTTTTTATGAAACCCTCCATCAATGATGTTTACTCGCTGGGTTTTTCTCTTTCATTAATATTTAAATGAATAGTTCACCTAGAACTGAAATTTTTGCCATCATTTACTCACTCTCTTTTTGGTCTAAACCTGTTTGACTTTCTGTCTTCTGTGCAACACAAAAAATATTTTGATGAATGTTTTTGCCAGTATAATGAAGCTCCAAAACAACATTGAGTTTTATTGTATGGATTAAAAAAAAAACACCAAGACAGTTTTTAAAATATAATTTTTTGTTCCATAGTAAAAAGAGAAAGTCATACAGGTTTGGAACGAGTAAATGATGCCAGAAATTTCATTGTTGAGTGAGCAGTGAGCTATCCCTTAAGTTTCAATTGGCTTTGTAGTTAATAGAACAGACACACAGTTAAATACTCTATTTTCCCCTTGTGCAACTAATGACACAGAAACTCTCAGGTGATTCTTTCAAATTTGAAAGTAAACTTAGCATACTTAATCACTTATTGTGGTATATCCTATACTTCCCTCTCTGAGACCTTCGACCCTGGGCTTTCTGTACCTCCTCCCTGCACTGCACTGACTAAAGGGGTGCTTGTCTCCTCAGGTCTCTGCAGCCCAGGGCAAGACCGATGCTCTGCCAAAGACCAGCCAGAGCAAAGTGAGTCCCTCCCAATGACATCTCCCTGACTCACTGCCTCAGTATCACTCTGTCTCCTGCTCTTACTTTCGCTGTCTTTCCAAAGATCATTAGATCCTGTAAAAGCTTGTTTATGCAACCCACATTTTTACAAACGTACACAGAATCACTAAACACTTAAAGACAGAGAATTTGTGTACAAAAATTAGGTTCAAATGGTTTTCTGAATGATAAGGAAACATGCAGGCACGGTTGTTGTTGTTGTATATAAACATATCCACATCTGTTAGAGAATGTTGTTAGAGCAATGCAGCCTGGTCTTTGAATGTCTTCTGTGGATTTAACACCAAAGAATTCTGTGTCTGGTTTACCATTGTTACCAGTTAATTGTCATTGTGTTTTTGTTTTTAAGTTCTGCACTAACCACGTCCATCCAAAAATAGCATAACTGTATGTTGTACGGACTCAGCAGTAGTATCAACACTCTGGAGTGCAATTAATTTCTTACCTTACAATGGATTGTAATATTTGCACTCTTGCTTTTGCTTTTGCTTTTAAGGAAAAGATGCTTTTCCACTACGCATATAATATGTGCTATATATATCACCTTTCTTGCAGCTTTCCACACAGGAGACTGTGGCTATTCTTGGGGAACTTAATATAGCATGAAATTAAAAATCGAGTACATTTCTTTTCAAAATATTCTTACACATAATAAAGACAAAAATGTCTCTAATTAACTATAATTATATATTATATTTCATTATATTATATTATTGTCTTGCTCAACATCTAGATTATTGGCAGATGTTTAAAAACTGTTTTCATTGCATTTAAAATTACTGTGTTTTCAACCCCAAGATCACCCACAGCCTCCTGTTGTTTCACAATGTCAGATGTGTGTTTTGAGAAATTGTGCCTCTGTTTATCTGCTACTCTATTATGTATGCAGTTCCATGGATATTGTTTAACCACACTTTGCATGTTAATAACTAAGTAGACTTTAGTGCTACTGGTGTTCCTTTTGCTGCTCAAAGAATCATCATGGTCATGTTATTGTTTTCAGGAAATTCATCAGTTTTCAGCACAGCCTTTGAGCTATGCAGTATTGCAGTTAACTCCAAATTACATTTGCTTTTCCTGGAGTGGTCTGTCACTGCAGGTCAAATAAAACAGAGTTAGACTGTAGCCCCCTCGAGTGTTTAGGCATTACCTGAGATTAACGCAATAAAGCGAGCTTTAGGCTGTGAAAACCACACTCTGAGTCAGACAGAGTGTTCCTGGCTTGCTGTTACTCTGTCCGAACAAATATATGAGTCACACAAACAAATCCTGCACCAAACTGCACAACAGAAAATGAACATTTGAATCTAATATGGCTGTCACAAAAAATTTTCAGGAATCAACTTACTTCTTCAAATGCAAGAGTGGGGAAATAACTGTTTGCTGCAAATAAATGAGTAGCATGATCATTCAACGCTACTTGACATGAACATTATGATTTTGTATTTTCAGTGTTTACTTTTAATTTACTATAGTACAACATTGTTTAACACACTTGTGTCGGTCTGTTTTGCACGTGTACCTGTAGAATAACCTATGTCCATGTGTCCTCTGTGCTGTTGTGCTGTGTTTAGGTTCAGATAGTCCACAAAAAGCTGGACTTCAGCCATGTCACCTCCCGATGTGGCTCCAAGGACAATATCAAGCATGTTCCTGGCGGAGGAAATGTAAGTGTACAGTTTCATATTGGCTTAACAACTCTCTTATATAAAAATGTGTTGACTCATTTCATTATATGACGCTTATAGCAGCAATGAGCCACTTATACTGTATGTGACTCAAATGTTCTTTTCTCTTTAGACATCCATTATCAGAAACAAAATACACTTTAGTCTAACAAGAGTCTTTCCTCTTGGTCTCCAGGTTCAGATTTTAAATAAAAAGGTTGACTTGAGCAAAGTTACCTCTAAATGTGGATCCAAGGGCAACATAAAGCACAAGCCAGGTTGGGGATGGATCAATTTGAATGTTGCCTATTACTGTAAATGCAGTCTCATTGTGAGTGCGTGCAATAAATATCCACATGAATCATGATTGATCTCTCTCAGGTGGTGGTGATGTGAAGATTGAATCCCATAAGGTTAACGTCAAGGCCAAGTCCAAAGTGGGATCAATGGACAATGTAGGCCATGAACCAGGTGGTGGCGATGTCAAGGTAGTAAAAAGCTTAAGAGGATATTACATATTAGGAGTGTGCCCCCATCAATCTTTCATTATTGATATTACATTTTCATGAAGCTCTTTCAGACGCAAGCACATTTTGCAACACCTACCTTTCATTTAATAAGTAGTAATACCAGATAATTTATTTTAAATACTGCACACCAATGCCATATATTCATGATTTGGTTCAGTATGCTCCCCAAACACATTTAGAGACATTTATTTTAAAAGGTGTCATGCATTTCTGCATGGTAAGTTTCGCAGTGAGAATTTTAACAACAGCAGAGTTATATAATACCGTACAGACCATATTAAATGTGTCCACATTTAATAGTCAAGTGTAACAATCAGTGTATTTACCCACATGGAAAAGAGAATATATTCGCAGGAAAATTTGTAAGATTCAACCCCTTCAGCGTGTGAAAATGTGCTTAGGTTTATGGCATCTCACATTGTTGAACACCAATTTGTTTGAATCTGTGTGTTTATTTATATATAAATATGTATATATATTTATATACTGTATATATATACAGTATATATACAAACCTGATTAGTTCCTGTATTATTTAAGAAGAAACTTTTGATTAATTTTAATAGGATACATTTGAGAAGTCCTAGTTTTGATGTAGATTGTATATATCTAAATAGTACAAATTCTGTAAGATTTTCATTTTAGTACAAATTTTTCAATTTATAAGGCACTATTCCTCGGTTTCACAGACAAGGCTTAAGCCTAGTCCTAGACTAAAGTGCATGTCTGTGCTGTTTTACCTGAAAGAAACTTGCACGGACATAGCTTAAAATATGTTAGTACTATTGATTTGCACATGGATAATGTTATTATTATTACACTTAAATGTCCTAATTAAACTATGGCCTAATCCTGGTTTAACCTAAGCCCTGTCTGTGAAACCAGGCCTATATATGCACAATAAATACATTACTGTTCAAAAACTTGGGGTCAGTAAGATTTTCTTAAATAAATGAATACTTGTATTCAGTTAAGGATTCATTCAATTTATCAAAAAGACAGTAAAGACATTTATAATGTTACAAAAGATTTACAAAATAAATCATGTTCTTTTTAACTTTCTATTCAACAAAGAATGTTGAATTCTGAAAAATATATCATGGTTTCCACAAAAATAGTACATGTAAGCTGGTTTTAACATTGAAGGGTTTCTTGAACACCAAATCAGCATATTAGAATAATTTCTGAACTATCATGTGACACTGAAGAGTGGAGTAATGACTACTGAAAATTCAGATCTGCCATCACAATATAGTAATGTATATATATATATATATATATATATATATATATATATATATATATAATTTTTTTTTTAAACATTATTTTATATTGTAATAATATTTCACAATACTGTTTTATTGTATTTTTGAACAAATAAGTGCAGCCTTGGTGAGCATAAGATACTTTTTCCAGAAATATTTAAAGGGGTCCTATTATGCTTTTTCACTTTTTTAATTTTAGTCAGTGTGTAGTGTGTATGTTTGGGCATAAAAAAGATCTAGAAAGTTACAAATCTCAAAGTCCACTCCAAAGGGAGATATTTTGTTTTTTAAAAATCAACGAACGGCTCGTTTGGACTACAGCGTTTGTTTTCCGGGCTTTGTGATATCACAAAGCGGCCCATTAGAATATCATTACAAAGAATTCCCGCCTACAGAAATTCAAATGGTTGTGGGGCGGGGAGGGGTGAGGTTGTGGTTAGAACGCTTGGTTGAAACCAAAGACGTGGCGCGAGACCAAAGATGTGGCGCGACGCTGCACTTCTCGTCCGGTGCGCGACCGCCTGAAACGTTGTTTTTTTCACCTCCATGCGTTTGGGATGCAACAAAGACGTTTGGGCTTCCGAAAGTCTGTTTTACCTGAAAGAAACTTGCACGGACATAGCTTAAAATATGTTAGTACTATTGATTTGCACATGGATAATGTTATTATTATTACACTTAAATGTCCTAATTAAACTATGGCCTAATCCTGGTTTAACCTAAGCCCTGTCTGTGAAACCAGGCCTATATATGCACAATAAATACATTACTGTTCAAAAACTTGGGGTCAGTAAGATTTTCTTAAATAAATGAATACTTGTATTCAGTTAAGGATTCATTCAATTTATCAAAAAGACAGTAAAGACATTTATAATGTTACAAAAGATTTACAAAATAAATCATGTTCTTTTTAACTTTCTATTCAACAAAGAATGTTGAATTCTGAAAAATATATCATGGTTTCCACAAAAATAGTACATGTAAGCTGGTTTTAACATTGAAGGGTTTCTTGAACACCAAATCAGCATATTAGAATAATTTCTGAACTATCATGTGACACTGAAGAGTGGAGTAATGACTACTGAAAATTCAGATCTGCCATCACAATATAGTAATGTATATATAT